AAAGGAGAGCAAAATTAATGAAGGTTACAGAGAAGGAGAATTACGCAAAAAAAAAAAAAAAAGGAAGGGGGAAAAAATGACGAAAAGTAAAATGAGACGGAGGGATCGTTGGGGAGTCTCCCTGGATTTGCAGAATCCCCCTTAGCCTCAAGTTTCAGGCCAAAGTCACACTGACACACTTGCAGCCTGATGAGCATTATTTTTTTTTCTCTCTCCTTCTTTCTTCAACACTAAAAATGAGAACTGTTGGTGTCCTCTGACAGTCGCAAAGATCATTTGACTGTAGTGTGGTGACTTGTGCACAGGCAAATAATACTCTCTAGGACATTTGGCAAGTGTAATTAGGGATTAAAATGCATCATTATGGCCATTTTAGTGTTTGTTTCAGCCAATCTTGATGTGAACCCAATGTTTTATGGTTCACCTGCTGTTATTTTACACCATAAAAACTGCAAAAGGCTCTTCTGTTGCTTTGGCTCTTTTTGAGTGCCCCATACAAATCGAGTTTACTTGTAGAACCTCACTGAACACAGGCACCATAAAAATCGCCTTGTTTTACATGTAATTTCTTACTGTGAGTGTTATTAGTAACCCGTTACTGACATGGTGATATAATAAGAAAAATAAATAAGAAGCTCCCCAACTGACATGATGCCAAATGTCACTCATTCTAGGGAGTTTGTCAACAACTAACCAATTGGTGGTTGCAATTTGTTCTGAAGTACATCCACCTCATGTGGCAGAACTGAACCACTGTCAACATTGCCAGAGTTCATCATCCTAACGCACCGTGGTCATAGAAATTTCAAGGGAAATAATAGGAAATCATGGACAAACGTTGTCAGTGGGGAACATGCAATCCGGACAGCCGTTGCCCAGAACGCTTAGAGGACGGGATACGATTTATTACGTTTCCAAAACCCAGAATGTGGAATAATGCAAGTAAAGGATCAAGGCCTGAACCCCACCTCATGTCTGGTTGAAAGAAACTGTGATCGACGGCAACTACCACATGCTCACCTCCACAAAGATAACCGGTAGAAAATATCCAATTTATTGTCAAAACTTACTGACAGTCTAATCAATGATCAATAAATTAAAGTAGTTATGTTTGTAAATTTCATATCTAGCTCTACGGGAGCATGAAAATATGTGCTGCAGTAACTGTGGTACAATGTTTTCATTCTACTTTTTCTTTATTTTCAAGCATTTTCCTGAAGGCAGATTTTCACAAGAGGGTATTTAAGTCATTACTCATAATGCGTCCGGCGGTCCAACATAGCATTCACACTCACATCCAATAAGACTTTCTGCCCCTCATTCTTCCTCTGACTGCAAAGGCCTTGGGATTTAACACCGATTTCTCCATCGTTTCCCGCAAATAACCTTACAGACCTAATGTAGGACTCAGAGAATTTTGTTGCCTCTTCTCTTTGCCTCACTGTTGACTTATAAGACAAAAATGTCTCAGGTAAAGGCACTGAGGTCCACTATCTCTGCTAAACTGTTTGTGTGTCGAAGGTCTGCTGTACTTCCGCCTGGGGGCGGAGTCAGCATCACTTCAATTGCCCAACCTTGTCTGATTGGTCAGTTTTACTGCGCCAATTACAGAGAGCATACCTCAAAATTGAAACCCTAAAAATTATGTTATGAATGAAAACGTATTTGCCTATCAACAGATGTTTCTATTAGCATTCAAACTTGGCATTAACCCACTGCTCTAAGTGGTCAAACAATTTATTAGCTTGAATGAATGAATAAATAAATAAATAAATCAGTAAAAAAAAATAATATCCATACTAATGTAAAATTAAAAATGAAAACAAATCACAAAAAAGTGAAGTATCCATGTCTTTCCAGTAGGTGGCAAGGAAAAACGAGCCGCTCCTAAAACGTAAGAGGTAAATTCTGTGAATCATTCTAAATTATCATTATTAGTTGATGTGCTTATGCAGTCACTCTCAATAATTACATTTAGCACAGGGGTTAACTTTAATTGGAACATAATGAGAAAAACATTTAGAAAGATGTATAAAAATAAGTTAAGACTTTAGTACTCTTGCAAATACCAGTAATAGGCAAGTTTCCACTACCAAGGTATACCAAGGTATTAGAAACTGAGACGCCAGTTTGAGCATATAGTAACACATCACAAAGCCTCCACCACATGCTGCTGTGCACTGCCTGTCAGCTCGCTTAAAGAAGGTCCCCACATGTTGCCCTTGCTTTCAACAAAGCTAAATTCAGCCATCAAGAAACATTTGTGGTTATGAAAAACACAAAAACTCACCTAAAAAAAAAAGTTAGTTTTTAAAAACATACCGGCCAAGCAAAGACCAACTTGTCAAAGACGTTAACTTACTTAGTTTGGCTGGCTCCCTACGCAGCAGGCCTCACTAACCAGTCAATGAGCTTGTTAGGCTCCCAGTGTTGCACAAAGAGAAAATCAGCACTATACTACTTTTTTTGCTTTGATTTATGTATTTAAACCAAAATAATAAAGGACAAGCCTGTAAATACAACGACTGCAACCCTGAATCTCTTTGAATACATTTTCAGCTAGATGAATATTTGCTGCTTTTCCATTCCAAATACAATTTATGACAGACTCAAGGGCAACATACAGTGAGAACCAAATACCAGTTAATGCCAAGTTTAGGACACAAAGACAGTTTTGTGAGGTACAGTATATTGTTATGCCATTGTGAGTTTGTTTGAGAAAGACTTTGTTTTTTTACAAATAAATTAGAGCTGTAAGCACAGGAGAGAATATAAAAAAATATATTAATATTCATGTGCACATAGCTTATGAAAATAAGTTGTTGCTTGTACAGACGGATAGGTGATAAGTAAGGATTTTTGTGGAAATGTGATTTTTGCTTTGAACCTTATAATTCTTAAGCTTTTGTTCAGTTTACTGTCTGTTTAAACAGCTTAAGAGGCTTGGATTTCACAGCTGGTCACATAATGCACCTTCTGCTTTTGGTTAGGCGAGTAAATTCCCTTTTGCATCAGCAACAAAAAGGAGCCATGACCTCCTAGAGTTTCCTATAATTGGCATGTGTTACTTGCTTGTCTGCTTCCGAGGCATCCAACATAAACAGCACAATCCAATTAGTGCACGGGGTAATAATAAACATAAGAGCTATATGATTTCCAGATGGCAGGTTTCCGAATTACATTCATTAGCTTAAGCTTTTCAACACTAATGGAAGATCATAGAATTTATAACATTTTTATTACTTTAGAGAGAAAGCGAGAGAAAAAAGAAACAACTGAGATATTCACCATAAACATACTTCATGTCAGCAGCTAAGAGCACATTCTGATGTACTTGTATCCACAGCTATGTGAAAGCACCGGCACGGTTTGTAATTTGATGCCTTTGATTGTGCCCTGCTGAGTTTCCCCGCTGTCTGTAACAGTGTAAGATACTAAATGATGAATGAAAGCTGGCCCTGATGTTTGCCTGTACTGCAATCAGAAGACCAACAGCATGTATACTTCACCAACAATCTGTCCATTTATCCCACATCAACACAGTCCAGTTATCAAGAGAGCAAAAGTCAGAAATGTGGCATCATATCGCTTAATTGAATCATGATTAATGTTTCCAAACAAATCAATCTCGATGATCAACTTGACCTTTCCGTCAAGCAAGATTTCAGAATTCTGTGTAATTTCCTGCATTAGACTTAAATAGAGTCAGCACATAGAATAACCAGGACATCAATCAAAATAAAAGTAAAAAAACAACAACAAAACACAAAAAAAACAACAAAAACATGGTTGAGAGCAAATTATAAATGTGATCCAAAATAAAAGAAAAATATTAAGCGATTTAATACCTACTGCTTAATATCTATGGTATGTTTGTTAATTAAGCGGCAGAAACATAAGAAAAACATTACACGAATGAAACTGCAAGTGAAACTGATAGCATGACCTACATTCTCAGCATCTAATAATTATTTTCTACTTGCGGTCTCTTTTGTAACATATTACTCTAATCATCAGATGGTCAGTTAATGGATAAAAATGAGTTGTAATTTGATGCTGTACAACAATGTGAATTCCACACCGTTGATTCCAACATACATGCACTATTCAGAATAGAATGCATAATAATAAGTTGCATGTAAAATGTGCTTAATTTCCTTATGTTTAGACCAGCATAGCACACATTTTTGAATGAATTTAAAGCAAGATGGCTTTAAACTCATTCAAGAGTTTAGAGTTTTCTCAGAATTCCAAAGAAAATGTTCTTAAAGGTTATATTTTTGGAATCTTGGAACGCTCTCTGGAGGTACAGCGGCTTGTTTTGACCACATCTAATGTCTGATGAGGAAGTTTTGAGAAAACCACAAGAAGCAGTACTTTCAGTGTACAACAGTTGGTATTCATAAATTCTGCAAGACTGAAATTATACCTGTATAAAAGTATGTGGTTACTAGAACAAAACTAAAATCCATACAAGGCAACAGAAGGAACCTTTTGGTAAAACGTAGAAATAAATCCCAATAGGATTTTCAAACCAGCAGCAAAACAATGCCTATCTTACAACGGGTCAGTAACTCCCCCCTCCCCATCCTGAAAAAAATAAAAATAAAAATAATAAAAAGAACCAGCAAGACCTATTTGGAGCTTGGCTTTTGAACTGCACTGCTTCTGTAGCATCATGGGCAGAGCAGATGTGTTGATTTCCCCTGGAGCCAGTGCAGGAAGAAGAGCTGAACTTGTCCTCACATCTTCTGCTGCTAAGGAGAGATAACTAGCTCCATTCTCTTTGAAGGAGAACGAAAACACGCATGCTCTCAAACTCTGCCTGCCTGTTCCAAAGTGACTAATTTCTCTCCACTTTCCTGCATATTCCTCTCACTTCCCAGCACTTGCTTTTGGGAAATCCATCTCTCTCCGAATTACCCAATTATTTCGACCAGGGAGGGTTCGCGTCGCCTCACAGCGCTGTCATCCTTCGTTCCGCGCCTGGTCTAACTTACCTGTGCAATCTCGTAGAGCAGTTTGTAGTGTTCCTCTCGTTTCTGCAAGGTGCACAAATTGCAGCCCATCCTAGTTGTCAGGGAAACGGTGCCGAGTGCCCGCCGGAGTGTGTGCGCTTGTCTGAGGCGTGTGCGAGCTCCCCCCAGGGCGATCCACACTCGGGCTCCTCTTCTTCGTCTCCCTCACTCTTCCTTCTCATCCGTGTATCCTCAGAGATCCTTCCCTCTCTCTTTCTCTCTCTCTCTCTCTCTCTCACACACACACACATATGCTACCCAAATTTTAGAGTTTTTCTTTTTTGTATCCCTAATGAGTATATAAGTCTCTAATTAACTCAGTAAAATGCACCTGGCTTCCCGTTCCCTCTTGCCTGTCCCTCCCTCTCCCGGCTCTCACTTGCATGCCTCCATACACTCTTCTCTCCGCCACCTCCTCTCTCAGTGTGAGCGTACTCTCGTCTGTGCACACACTCTTGGCTCACAGAGACACACCTCCTCCTGTGGCAGGCTGCCTACACATGCCTGCTCCCACTTTCAGTTCATGAATAGACAGCATCCTTATTGGCTGTTTAAGGAAAGGAAGGTGGCTGGCTGAGGGCGGACAGGAGGGGAGTGGTAAAGGGAGTGGACCCGTCTCAACTTGTGAAGACTCAGTGATTGACCACTGGTTTGAAAAAGCACCCGTCCACCACCTCCGGATCCCTCCGTTTCCAAAAGCTCGAACCAGGCAGCTAAAACGCAATCTCTGCAGTTCATCAAGTTGGCGAGGGGGCCATTTGTCAGCACGCACATTTAACAAATGGATCTGGCATGGAAATCAATCTCATTTGGATGCAGTCGGATAGCCTTTTGCACTCGGCTCCGTGTTTTCCACGAGTGGTATTTAGTGGCTGCCATAGATTTACAGTCAGCGCGCGACGCTTCCCCCGGCATATGCTTCCTCTCTCCGCCCGCAGTTAGACAAGGGCACCGAACCGGGCTGACACACAGGAAGAAACACAGACTAATATTGATTGGCTTCAAATTAGCTTCCAGCACTGCTGGTTCATCTCTTCAGAGTAGGGGGAGACAGAAAGAAGAGGAGGAGGAAGAAGGATGGATGATATAGAATTGCAGCTATGATTAATTAAAATGGCAGTGATGGCATTTATCACATCCTGGTTCTTTTTACGCTTACAAGTAGGAAATCTGGTCCACCAAATGTGCTACTAAAAAGCTGAAAAATCCCCGAGTGCGTGTATAATTATCTGCAAGTATAAGATGTTTAAATGGGCATGTATCTTAATTTTTAATTACTTTTCAGCTTAAAACTCTATTACGGAAATATCCTGAAGTTGTTGTCTGAGCAGAGTATCTTGGGAACTTAAACCGGCACTCTATTGACTTCCCAAAATCTTTGAATTTTGGGAAATCAAAAACTGAATTCCCAAAAACAAAATTCACAAATTTTAATGCTTTTGTCATCAGAAAATACTTTTTTTTTTTAATGGAGAATGTTTCCATTAAAACACTAATTTTTCTTATACTATTTTTTTTACCCATGTCATTTTTACCCTATTACCATCTCATCCGATTTGTATTGTTGTTATTTGCCCTTTAAGCTGCTGCTGGATAGTCAAATACATAATATGATAACTGTAATATATAGTTGCTTGAGAAAATTTGCACAGTTTTAAATAATCCTTCAACTAAAAAAAATCTTGAATAAATCCAGTTGACCTTTGGTCATATGGGGGATAATCATCATCATCATCATCATCTTTCATATAATGTGGCGCCAGGCTGTGTAACAAAGAGCAGTTCTAGCATCCTGTTGGCTTTTATACCAACATGGTAAAGTAAAAAAGAAATGCAAAACATCGTAAGTCTCCATTGTTTATCTTTACATGAAATGACTGCTGTGCACTGGTGAACTACTTTAGCTCGGGAAGCAGGCAAACCGCGTCTGCAAGACAAATCGTTGCCATGGCTAATGAGCAGAGAGCAAAGATGCACCATCCTTCTTATCGCCACCTAAACAGGAATAAGGCCTATAAAGGGGCAGTCAAGGGTGTCCAGGCAGATCCAGATATAGGTTCCCAGATAAAACCCGACCCTTTGTCTAAACCCACTCTCAAGCCAAGGTGCACGGTGATGAGGTTACTGCTCTTTCCACTGACCTTTGCTAAACAATTGACCAACTAATCTCAGAGTTAGGTTTTTTTTTTTCATTGGATCGTCTGCCTCAATGTTACTTTCTTGAAAGTGCTGCAGTTTGGAATGTGGAAATGGATTACCTATATGAACAGACTGCACTTTCATAGGGTCTTGATATATTGTCTTATTGTTTAGCCGCTGCAATTAGGTGAACCTCTAAAAAATGTTTGCGGAAGCGGTAATATGCATGGAATCGTGTGAAAAATGATACTATGCTTCTTTCTCTCTGGATGTACTAACCACAAACAATATTTTCACTAACATCCTGTAGGTAAAGGTGTTGTCGCAAAAGTTTGACACCAGGTAAGGATGTCAGCACAGACATTAAAAAGCAAATGTCAGTTTGCAAAAAGAGATATACCAAAAGTAATTTTTTAATTTAAAATGTCAAAAATAATAAGAAAAAAAAGCCATACAAACAGGGAATTGCATAAATCTTTAGTAAAGGTGCCATCGTACCAGACCTTTTTTGTTGTTCGTGCCAGTCTCTTTTCATCATACCCTGAAATGGGCTCCCTGTCAAATTTCATCATCCTGCCTTCTTACTGGGGCATAAATGAGACACTGGACAGGCTTGTGCTCCCTTAACATTTTGAATTGACTTGTGTAACTTTGACAGCCGTGGAATTTGGAACCTGTCAAAGAGAAATTGTGGGGTACCAAAAAAAAAAAAAAAGGCACCTCATCTTTGATGTCTGGGAGCAGGACTGGCAATAAGAGCAGCAAAGTTGTGTCATACATGTAAGGTCTCGTGCTCAATAAATTCTCTGACAGGTAGTTAACTTTCGGGGCAAAGAGGGTAAGGCGGTTTCAACTATTTGCACCAACCATTTTACATGTCATGGTGAAGTCTGTCGTTTGGATCTGCTGGTCTGTCAAAGGTTAACCAGAAATAGCTTGCTAGAGTTGGAAAGTGTGTCACTTCAAAGGAAGCCTTTACCGCCACATTAGCATAATGTCCTGTATGTTTGACGATGATGGAAAATGTGCCACTTAGCTCAGTTTTGTGAGCTCTGAGCCATACGGTGACGTGTACAGTTTATGAAGAAATTAAAGCGGTTAGGATTCACACTGACAGAACTTTGGGGTGATGTTCAAAGGATCCCAATAGCAAATCTGATAATGTCTTCATTCTGTTTGTAAAAAGGCTTCAAGAAAACCCGTGACCTGTGTCCTACTTAGACAGAAAACAGTTCTGTTCCACTCAAAACTATTTTATTTATCCCGTAATATCATCCAAGTATCCTCCAAGAGTTGTTTCGGCAGGAAGGATCCCTGCAATAGATCTGAAAACGCCTCTGACTGAAGTTGCAGTTGTTGTACGAGAGTCTCAGTCGTGACTGTCGTGATATGCTGCTAACTCAATCTCCAGGCAGTACTGATGATATTCCACAGTTGTCTCCCTCCCATGGAACATGGCTGGAAAACCTTCCAAAGACTCCCAGGTGGTATCCTGATCAGATAACCACCCTGACTGACTCCTTTTAAAGCCGAGGAGCAGAACTGGATTTACTCCAAGCTTCCTCCTGAATAATGGATTCTCTTTCCAAGGTTGAGCAGAGTTCCAGGAAAGAAGCCAATTTGAGACAGTTTTAGTCGGGATTCATTTCTTTTGGTGATGATTAATTTCTTCATACGCGAGGGTGCACAAAACCAAACCAAGAAATCACTAGAACTTATCAAGAGCTTATCATATCGGCTTTTTATCCACTACAATCTACTGCAACAAGCCATCTAGCCATTCATTCTACCGTTGCTCATGAACAAGATCACAAGATTCTTGAACTTTTCTGTTTCAGCAAAAGACCTCCAGTTTTGGAGAGCAAGCCACCTTTTTCGACAAAAGTCAACATATAGTCGTCAAAATGAAAACGTCAAACCTTGAGATTCTCAAACCTGACACCTCCCTCGACATTACGTCAGAGATCCTCTCCATGAACGCCACATGCAGGATCGTGGCAAAGGGCAGGGAACACGTTAGCAAATCCTGATCAAGGGTTGTCGTGTCGATATTTTAGTTTTCTGTCTTAACTGTCAAACACATAACCATCTCTCAACTACCTGAAATAAGGAAGTTTGTCGTTTCACCAACGCATTGACGTCACTGCAGATATGGAAAGATCAATACAAAACAGCTAAGCATCTCAAAATCAGCGGTGTGGGAAGTGCCTAAGGGCGACACACGCAGTCCTCTCACCGGCCATAACCCATTCATTATTTAACAGCCTAAACCATTTGTCTACATGAAAACACAATTAGACTGCTACTCACATTATGAATCTAAAGGGCGAGGGGAAATAATGGTACATGATGGTAATTGAAAAGCAAAGGTCCAATACAATTTTTTTTTTTTTTTTTGACGTTCTGGTAATTACATTTTAACTATTAATAATTGTCTAATTACTTTGCAGAAGGCCAATTCTGAGTTCCAACATTCATGGTGATTGTCTTTCCTCCACTGCATTGTCTTCTGACTCTGACCATTGACGCAAAACGTCTGACTTCGCAAAATAAAAAGAACGAGAGATCCCAGCCAGTTAATTGTAACGTGAAGACAATTGCAGCGCAAACAAAAGGCTGATGATTCACACAACAGAGGGGAAGATAAAGCAGCTAAACTGGGATGAATTTGGGAACGAATTGTTTTAAATGTGCAAACTAGCAGTTGTATAAAAAAAGAAAAAAAAAAGAAAAAAATAAGAAGTCACTGTAATTTATCTCAACGTTGAAACATAAGTATCGTCTCTGAGCACCATAAAGATAGGCAAATCCTATTTTGATAAAGTCATTTTGCAATGCACAAATGAAAGCAGCTATTTAATGAGTCACGGTTTTGTGTAAAAAAAAGAAAAAGCTAAGATAGACAAATGGATTAATTTTATGCTGGTTTTTTTGTTTAGCACAAAACGGAGGGCTTCACATAAATATATGAAGCAACTAACAATCAGAGATGGGACATGACTGGGGGGAATTCAGGATGCTGTGTTTTTGAGAAGCCAAGAGTCAAACTGGCATCTGAACAACTGACCTCACGACGGGGTCAAGTGATCCATAACAATGGATTTGTCCTCCAGCAGTGGGAAACAGGTTCAGATCTCCTTAAGCAGTTTTCCTTTGACTATTGAACAGTGGAGCAAAAAGAAAAAAAAAATACTGACTCTAAATGAACCTTTAACACAGAGACTTTTTTTTGCCACTTAAAGCTGACTTGTTACCAAATGCCAACTGGAGTGAATGTTAAATCTCAGACTTTTCAAAAAGATAAA